TGTTATGATGTAGATTTTTGAGGTGCACTCTTGTCATAAATTAATCTATTACTTTTCCTACATAATTTTCAACAAAAAGCAGTGGTAAAATATCTATTTAGGAGTCTTAGACCTTTCCAACGATATATAGTTTGTCATGATTAGATTAGGATTTAATTGTAATATAGTGAAGTAAACTTAGGTGTCCCACAGAGGGGACGGGTGACAGTTAAGAGGTTTTAATATCAAATATAAAATTTTAAATAAATATAAAATGTAACTAAATAATGGTTATATTCAAATCAAATCAAATAAATAGATAATAATGAAAAAGAAACATTTCAAATGAAACTGCATTACTATTATTTAGGAATTAATATTATCAATAACGATATTAAGAAATATAAGAACATTACAAGTCGGAGTGACTGTCAGGCACGTCCAAAAGTGAATTTTGATTGATTTACATGTAACTGGTTCATCCAGTTAACTAAAAAGAACCAGTTCAAAAGAACAATTTCTTTGCCAACGGGACATCACAACTAGGAACTTTGGGAAATGGAGTTATATCTGTGAACGCAACAAAGCGGAGACATAATTTTTAAATTGCACAATAAACTACAACTACTACATAAAACAGCGGCGCGGCATCCATTAACCCCACACACAAACAAGCACACAACAAACTCTCACTTGACACAAACAACAAACTCTGTCTCACACGCATACAGAACTATATCGCACTCGTACTACTATGAGAAACTTATTCATTGCACAGACCCATTTTTTTTCGTAGCATGTTCTCGCTGACCAATTTGCATTCAAGAAACATCTCCATGACCACAAATCTTAACATTACAGCTTGTTTTTACTCTTCCCAGGATATGAGGGTGTCCCAGAGTTCTTCAGTGATCTCCTGAACCACATCATCAGCGTCCTCCAAGACCACTCCTCCAGCGACCCCTCGGCCCTGCCCCCTCCCGGCCAGCTGCCCGCTTTAGGCGCAGGAGAGCGCAACTGCGCCCCGTCCCAGGAGTGCTGCGGCATGCTCGGCAAAGAGTCGGACAGCAGCCCCTGGATCGTGGAGGGCGACGGTGGTCTGAAAGGCCCGCGTCAGAGACTGGGCTGCAACACGGCCATGTCCCCCAACTTCCAACAGCACTGCGTGTCCACGATAGCCACTAAAGCCTCGTCACAATGACTGCCGTCTCCCCACTGTCCCGCCATCCTTCCCTGAACAAATTGTGAAGACAAACTGAATAATATACAATAACAATTATACTGGTAATATATCTGTAATCAAAAATAAACTATATTGGGAATAATCATAATGATGTTGATAATGGGCATTGGATTCGGTCTCCTATGTCTTTGTATAGGTTTTATTTTTACATTTTCTTTCTCTTCAGTCTAACAACTCAGTACTGTAATGTGAACTGAAAATCAGCTTTAATTGGAAGCACAGTGCAAAATTAGTGGATGTTAGTTCATTGAACACACTAGGCATGTTGGATATTTAAGCTGGAAAAGGTTTATCTTTTGTTGCTGATGGAAAAGACTAACGGATATCAGTGTTTTTAATGACACTGAACACAAACACACAGAATAATCTAACAAACAGGCCACCTAAAATGTCTTTGTGCTCTGTATTTAGTGGCAATCCTATATTGTGATGATCCACAGTGTATATCGTTGTGCAGCGTCTACAAAGCTCTTGTGTGCCACTGTGTTTGATCTTGTGACACTCCGTAATCTTTTCATAATGCTCCAGAAGACTTTCATCATCCTTCCATAAACATCGTGACACCTGACATTTTTCATGTGCATTTCAATGCATCATATCATAAGAAAACTGAACGATGAAGTTCCAGGTGAACTGTCAAGTGTCATTAATGTTTTGATAGTTTTATGAAAGTCGAAGAGGTTCTACTGTTCTTCTAAAATTTTTCTAAATTCTTTTTTTTTTGGGGGGTCAGTGCTGCGTTTGGTTAGACGGTTGCAAGAGGATATTCTGACATTCCCTGTATGCGTGTGTTGTTTTTTTAGCAGACAGTCCTTTAAAAGATCAGATGTTTTGTATATGATCCAGTTTTGAAAGTCATATTTAAGACTTTGCTTCAGGTTAGTACAGACCCTTGAAATATTTGAACAAACTGCATAAGATGGATGTTAATGTATATGTTGGGAGTATTTAGTCTTGTTCTAATTGCAAAGAAGAACACATCTCTTCTACAAAGGGTTCAACGCTTTGATTCTTGGTTACCATTCCTCGATTAAAAGGAAAATGGACAGATTTGTAACATATTCTTCATTCTAAATGGAATAATCGCTAACTTGTTTGAAAATCACTAATGAATACAAAGTATTTGTTTTATACATCATGTAGTTAGCGAAACATTGCATTTGGTTGCTGATTTAAATCGATCTGTTTTGTAAAATGCCATGAGGCAGTTGAAGCACTAATTAATTTCAAAATTGATTTAGCACTAATATCAATGTCATTAAAACCATCTGAACAATTTAGCAGTACTTTATACATTGATTAAATGGTAATAAAGCCAAAAAGTGATTTGCAGCTGCCTTGGACATCCCACAGCGTTTTTTGTGCAATTACAAAAATGAGCATCTTATTTGTATTCATGCTTATAAAAGAAACTTCGCCCACTTAGTGCCCATAAAGTGACTTGGATTACTCCTACACGTTTGAAGACCAACAGAAAACCACTTGTTTTTGTTCACTGTGAGAGGAATGAATGTGTGGAGATATTTGACAAACAATGTCTTAATGTGGTAAACAAGAGCGGTGCGAATGGACTGCTGTCATCAGCATCTGCTCCCGTTCTGTTCAGTTTATATGAAGTGAACATTTAGTGCCACTCCACTGGCCCTTTGCACCTTATGTTAATGCTTTTCTTGTTATGATGGGGTCCATTTTTTAAGATGAATATTTTCATAGGTATACCAAACTGTTTAATATCCTTTTCTATAGTAACTCACTCCATTGTTATGGAATATAAATTAAGTGGTCATTAATATTTTGATGCCATTTCAATAACAATTAGCTGTTTGTTTTTTTTAATTGGACATGTAGCCTCTTGCTTGCAATAGGAATTTATATCAAGAGTGTTGGAATATGTTTATATGATTAATGGGGAGTGTGTTCAGATTAAGTTTGCATTTTGTACATCATGAAAAATGCTCCCAAGTCTTGAGTCGGTTGAGAGAATGACAGCCTTCAACACCGCTTTATCTTTTGTCTCTGTACTTTTGCCTTCATTGTGCTATCAAATAGAAAATCTCCTCACCTACTAAATTTTCTGTCTCTATCATTTTTAATTGGTTTCAGGTTTCATATTAGACTCCCCTTACCTAATATTCATACACCAGGCCCAGAATTCATCGGGACCATGGTTTACCATCTCTGGTTGCATCAGTATCAGAATGTGACCCAGTGCTTGACGTTTTAAGGCCATCATATGATATTCATGTATGTCAGATGCATCCATTTGCCAGAAGAGCCCTATTATTATTATGTCATTAGCACATTTACTCGCCCTTATGTTACTTCAGACCTGTTAGAATTACTTTCTCTCATGGAACACATGCGTAAAGTGGACGTTGAGTCACGTCTTTCTGTTTAAAACCAGTTTAACTTCAAACGAGAGAGAAAACCGAAACAATGAAAATATGTGAGACAGGGTTATTATAATTAACTAAAACTATAAAAGAAAAAAGATTACATGAAATAAAGTATAAAAATACTGGAAACACTTTAGTATAGGGACAAGTGCTTTCAAACGATTAATCGCGATTAATCGCATCCAAAATAACAGTTTTTGTTTACATAATATATGTATGTGCACTGGATATTTATTATGTATATACAAATACACACACATACAATATATATTTAGAAAATATTTACATGTATATATTTATATTCATATAATTTATATTATATATAAATAAAATATAAACATAACATATTTTTCATGCATGTGTGTGTATTTACATACACATGATAAATATACACAGTACACACACATATGTATTATGTAAACAACTTTTACCAGTTTTTACCAGATTAATCGCGATTAATCGTTTTGGCAGCACTAATAGGGACCAATTCTCACTATTAACTAGTTGCTTATTAGCATGTATTATTAACATATTTAATATTACATATATTAACTTGATGTACCGGATATATATAGTAACACTGGTACAGTTATGTATATACAAATACACACACATACAATATATATTTAGAAAATATTTACATGTATATATTTATATTCATATAATTTATATTATATATAAATAAAATATAAACATAACATATTTTTCATGCATGTGTGTGTATTTACATACACATGATAAATATACACAGTACACACACATATGTATTATGTAAACAACTTTTACCAGTTTTTACCAGATTAATCGCGATTAATCGTTTTGGCGGTACAGAAATAATTATTAATAAAAACTATTTAAATAATTTAAACTATAGATTTAAATAAATGCCAAAACAACAAAATTACTAAAACTTTAAAATAAAACAAAATATAAATAATAAAAATATGTATAAAAACTATATGATGTGTATACTACAATGACATTGATGTGAGAAAACTTTTTACATCTATTAAACAAAGTAGATTAATATCTTGTCTTTAACAGAAACATTTTGTATACTGGTTTTGTAAAGGTCAGAAAGAGTTCAGACCTCGCAGAGTTAAACTAGTGTACTGTAGTAGTAGGCCTACAACAAAAGCTATTAAACTGCCGTTTGTGCTAAATGAGCAGGCCATACACAGAGCCGTAGCTTAGACGCCTTACGCCCACCTCCTCCTGCTCGCCATTGGCCGACACATTTTCATGCAACTCATCCTCGCGACCTGATTGGCCAGACTCTCTGTCAGTCACTACCACCGGCTCGCGATTGGCCGGTCCCAGTTAACTAATGCAAAAATTCCATGTTCTCCGGTTTTGACGTCACTAGAGCAAAGCCACCCATCCGCTCTGAAGTAGAGAGAGTAGCTTCATGCCTCGCACATGTCACAAGTAGTCCAAGCCGATTTACAGCGTCTGAACAAAACAAAGCATTTGCCCTAACATTATGCAAACCGCCTAAAGTTGTGCACTTCACTTGAATTGAAACATGTCGTCGATCCGTTTGTCTTTGGCCGGACGAAGCTGCTCTGACAGCGGACTGAGCGGATAAACGGGACTGAATGTGACGGCTCGTCGCGTCGGTGAATGAAGAAGCACCAGCCGCTCGCTTCAAAACACGTCCGAACATGGCTGACAGAACAGCTCCCAACTGTCGCCTACGACTCGAGTGGGTCTACGGCTACCGGGGACACCAGTGCCGCAACAACCTGTACTACACCGCCGCCAAGGAGATCGTGTACTTTGTCGCCGGCGTCGGAGTTGTGTACAACACACGGGAACACAAGCAGAAATTTTATTTGGGACATAACGATGACATAATCAGGTAGGCACATTGACGTGGATGTTTTAAGGAAATCCTTACATTTTTTCATTTTTATTTTTTACCAAATGCACGCCAACTTAGTAGTAGTGAACTCAATGGTTGTAAAGCATTCAAGCCAGTGTCAGGCTGGCTAACGTTACTTATATAAGACGTTGCTGTATATTTAATGGCAAGATCGTGGTACCATCACAGAGAGGCACAAAATCACTTTCCAGAACATTTTCGTTCATCGTTCCTGGCTGGTGGATTGATCTCCAACCCCTATCCGGAATGCTGATTCAGTGGCAATTTTTCAAGCGATCTCCTTCACCACTAGGCTATTTGACTTCATTCTAAACACACACACACACACACACGTTTTCTCTTTTCTGTAATCTTTCACTGTCTAGCTTGTACTTATTTGAACAATGCTTGAAACTTGGTATTACCAGCACTTCCTGTGTCTATTTGCCTCTGAATCGCTTGATGTGTTCCCCACTTGTAAGTCGCTTTGGATAAAGGCGTCTGCTAGATGAATGCATGTAAATTTAAGTGGGGAGAGATGGAGGTGTGAGTTGCTCCGCTGAGGCGCTGTCCAGCACGCCCGGCTGCTGAAGGTGATCTCCGTCGCGCTGGACAGCGCCTCAGCGGAGCAACTTAGCACACTGGATGGGTTTCTTGCATTCTGTTAACGCTGTTTTTGTTAGTATGTGTACATCTGCGGTAGGCGGACGTTAGCGTCGCGTCTCGCTGTTTTGTGGCAAGTTAAAAGTAGTTCAACTTTGAAATACGCGTCTGGAGACATCTGCTTTCTCTAGCCTCCCTTTGCTCTCCGTCTGGTTGTTTGTGCACGCAAAACGCGTCCTTTGTAAACTGCCACTTAGACTTCCCTCACAAATCGCTAAGTGATAGGCTATTTGTAAAGGTACGGTCACATTGATCGTCGCCGGGGAAGTCAGTCATTTCAATTGGATTCGACGCGAACGGGAATTTCGTAGATTTCGCAACTGGGGATTCGTCTCGTTAACCAACATCTATTTGGTTTGAAAGTGACTTTTTTTGGAAGCTGTGCGTCATTCATCGCTGTACTTCTGGCAATAGATTGGATTTTTTTTTGTTGCTCACGAAATTTCGGCGAAATTTCGTGATCGAGCAATTTGACGAAATTTCGTTAATGTATGCGCATTTAAAACTTAAGAAATCTCAATACTTTCGCGTGTACCTATTGTATTTTTCCTCAAACATATACATTCCTCATGCACATGCAGAGGGTAAACACACCTGAAATGGAACTGAACCAAAGGTTCCAAGAAGAGTGATCATATTTAGTATAACAGCACTGGAGCCCTTCCTATTACTTCCTCATGTGTGTTTCTGAGCGTTTTTTTCTTACTAGTGTTCAGGGAGTGTGAAATAGAAAACCCGGAGTGGATTTTTACCAGTGATTGCAGAACACTTTCAGCTCTGTTACTCCGCTCCATTCATATACAATGTTCTAGCCGGCTTTCACGCTATACTTTGCCATGCTTTTATCTGACCTCAGGGAAAACTGCTTTACAACGTCATGATTTCCTATGAATTTTCTAATATAGTATGTATGAAAAAAAAAATCAAGCACCCCTAACTCTACTCCTAAACATAACCTTCACTGAGGCATAAGCAGATCGTACGAAAACGTACTAACTACGAATTAGCCACCAATTCACCAAAATGTACGAATTGCCATGAGATGGTGTTGTCTGTTTGGTACAAAACAACAGCTAATTTGAAAGTAATATTTATTTAATATAATTTAATTTCTAACTACTAACTAACTTTAATTACTAAAATTATAAAAAAAAAATAAAGAGTTGCAAGGTAGGGTAGGGGACAAAAATCAAGTAATTTTATTTCATGATAACATTATATGTCAAGATATATTAGGCTGTTGTCACTTTAAGACCTATTGCATGGATCCATTATATTGACACACGTCTGATTTCTTCTGCAACTGTTTATGTTCACTTAATACACAACCGACTGTTTATGTGAATCTTCTCCAAGACAGGCATTTTGACAAATTTTTGTGCATTTGACCAAGCGCAAAAATATGTGAAAGGTAACTGAATCCCATAGAGTGTAATCACATATCTCACTGCATTACAAGACTTTGTAGTTTAGTTTTAATTCATTAGCTAATATATTATCCAATAGCCTTAACAGTCAATTGTCATGAAATGACCTCTATCTGAGGTCATGATTTTGATGTATGTTTTTTAAAATACATTTGACATTCATCCAAGGTTTATCTGTGTTAACCTTAATAGTAATTCAGTTATTTAGAGATAGCTGTATTCATATGCAGGTGAAGGTGCTTTTAGCTGACAGTGAATGCATTATAATTCAGTCACATGATCATCAAGGTTATGGCATCCTACAGGAGTAGGTGTATATGTGTGTGTCTGTCTGTATGTGTGTGGTGTTTTAGTGAGAGCTGGAGGGGGTGGTGTTCTGCCTCGCCGCCGGTCATCTGCCTCAATTCTCTATTATTAATTAGGTGACAGAGAAACTGACCTTGGTTATCTTGCATTTGTGTGACTGTTTGAATGCTGTGCATGTGCTTATATTTGTACAGCATGTAGCATAATTCTAAAAAATTATGAGCAAATTACAGTGTTCTCAGACATATAAAATTAGTTCAAATACCACATTTGTGACCAGTTACATACATTTACTACCCCCCAGTATGTCCCCGGTGTGCATTTGTGTGTCAAATGTCTCATAGGGACCCATCCATCTCTGGTTACTTCAGTATCAGAATGTGACCCAATGCTTGACTTTCTGGGAGGGCCATTATATGCTATTCATGCATATCAGATGCGTCCATATGCCAACAAGGCCCTATTATTAAGTTATCAGCACAAGTATCTAAATACATAGAAGTCATAAGTGATTCATATGCATATAGCGCCAAAGGATTATTCGTACATTCAATACAAGACAGATCGACAAACAGAGACTGAGAAAGATACTGAATAAAGGAGATGGTTTAACATTTTATCGTTATTGTTGCCAAATAACTCTGTAATTTCTATAATGCCATCACTTACTCTGTTGTAGTGAGGTGGAAAAGTGAATTACTATGGCAATCCAAAAAAACAATCCAGAAATATGAAACCTTTCCTATAATAGTATGAATCCTATAAAGTAAAAAAAAAAAGAAACTATATGCATAAAGGAAAAGAAAGCCTATTTTAGGATCATAAATGTTTTTTTTTTGCATTATGGTATTATTTCCATAAAAATTAAGTACATTCTCCAGTTTTTATGACTGTGATACATCCTATTGTTTTACTTTTGAATTTGCTTGCAATTTTTATTGGAACACACATTTTATAAAAATTAAATTGGTGTAAAAAAGGAAATATAAATATAATTTAATTTCTATATGAATTATATTGTGAAATAATTAATAAAATGAATTAATAAAGATTTGAATAAAACAAACAAACAAACATCGAAACGTCAAGAGGATATTCTGAATTATAATGATTACTATATTGTAATGATACTGAGAATCAAATGTGAATCATCCCGTTTTATCCAATAAGTCTGATATAAGATATTAAAAACACCTCAGTTCATGTTTCCAAGTAGAAATATACTTTGTTTATGCCAGATCAAATACAGATATTTATTGTATTGGCTGATCTGAGTTGTTGTTGACATGGGATTGGTAGTTGATGGTGGAGTTGGTTTGTATCCTCTGTTATTTGCCCTTGAGCAGAAAGCTCAGTGGGAGGTGGAGGATGGAGCCCAGAGCTGAGCTACAGATTTTGAACAGCAGCTTGTGTGTGTGTTTGTGTGTGTGAGAGAGAGAGAGAAAAAATGAGAGACCCTCTCATACCTAACAGACGTGATGCTGTTTATATCGCATTGTGAGTTGGTCTGCATCAACTCCATTAAGCAAGCTGTGTGATCATGCTGTGCTATGCCGAGAACTGCTGATATATGTCCCCGTTCTTTGTAAACGTTACGTGACAACACTCCCTCAGGTAAGTGCCAACATAAGGCATAAAATATTGAACTTTGGGCTGAAACAAGCATACCTCCAAATTTAGACACACATTTAAACATTTAAAGGAACAGTTTAAAAATGATTTACTCACACTTGTTGTGAGCCTCGTGGATTGATGTAGTTAATATGCTGAATGTCCTTGCTATTAGGCTGAGTGATATGACAAAATATATATTTTGATGAAAATATGAACTGTGTATTGATGGAGATTTTGCTACACTGTGAATTCTGTTATGGGGTGTGCACACCAAAAGCGAAGTGAGTATTTGCATCGCGTTATCACTCTAGATTACTCACGAATAAAATAATCGCGTAATGCTCTCCTCCATTTTCTGATATAAATGGATGCCTCAAACTGGACGTGTCAATAAGCTCTTCGCTGATTGGCTTGTGTGACAACGCGTCATGCAGGTTTTCTGCTGGAGTTGAAATTTTTCAACTTGCCCGGAAGATGCGATTGAGGCATATAACGAGTGTTTGTGGCAATCTGCTCGTTCAAACAATTAAATTCGCTTTTGGTGTACACGCACCATTAAGTAAATCCTAATAGTTATATCCTAATAGTTCAAGTCTGCTTAAAGTGGACATATTAGATTGCTAAAGAAACATACATAAATGAGAAAACAAAGCATGCTCGATAATAAAATCTTACGGTACGTCATATTTACCATTTTTCCACAGGTGAAATCATTCATTTCAATTGGAATTCATGTGATCATAAATTTTGCATGAAGGCAAAAGATTTCCCCATGCAGATTTCGCAGTGGGTTCAAGTTTTTTCCAGCTGAGTTTCTTCGCTAATGTGACTGTACCTTTAAGTGTGATAATCCAAAAAAGTCATAATTTTCTGAACTCGAGTTGACTCTCTTAGACAGCATTCAGTTCACTTATCGAATTCAGTTCCCTTTTGCTCTTAAATGGTCAAATACAGGAAAATTCTTTCAAAATTCCTGTCTTGGTGAAT